ATCAAAAAGTTACAATTTAAAATATTTTCAGTAATGTTTATACTAACTTGAAATAATTTAGATTTAGAAAACTGCCAAACCACGTAATTAGATACATTACAGAAATTTATTTGTCCTTTGTAATATTTGGCTCGCTTTTCTGGCAATTGTCCCACGAAATACACATTCCAAGACTGAGGAAAGTCAAGTAATCAGAAGTGCTTTCATGACATTCATGTTATTGCTTCTCGCATCTAAAGGCAGCCCACTTACAGAATGTAGACTTTGGGATCTAATTTCACATCCTCAAAACTAAATCATTGAAGATTATCTGGTAAAATGAAAGGTGATCATTTCAAGTATATAAGCATCCTTGTCTATTTCTAGAATGTAAAATTGAAGTAACTTCTGAAAATTGTGCTACTTATGCTCAATTTTCCTATCCCAATACAACTAGCATATAAAAGGGCATTTCTTTGATTTTTCTCTCAACATTATTGCCACTACTGCTCAAGGTGCAGCCGCTAGACAGAAGGCCATAAAGATAACATTCTGGGTGAGTCTGAAGAAAAATTAAACAGAATATATAAAATAAACAGAATCACCTAAAAGACACCAGATTCCATTTCATTACTAACAGATGTAATTCAACTGAACAAGCTCCTAAGAGCTGTGCGTGGCTGTTCCCAGTGTTCTTCTAGACTTACAAATTAAAAAACCATCTAGTTCTAGATTTACAGACTATAACCTCTCTATCCATACAAAGTTGTGTATCAGCTATGAAAAATTACCTGATTGTAATTCCTACTGACGAGTAGTGGGAAGCCCATTTGCAGGAACTCATTCTGACTTAGAGCGGGAGAAGAAAAACACAACTTCTTGAAAAGGTAAAATAGCTTAAAGCATTTAATATCTAAACAAATCAATCTGTTAATAGTAGTCACAAAATATGCTTAATATAGAAACCCACATTTATGTCTTTAAGAAAAAAGTGTAAATTTTATTTTACCTCAAACATAAATTAACCCACTTAAAGAATCTGCAGCGGTCAAAATCATGGTGAATTTTAAACAACTTCAGAATAAAATTACCTTAAGTACTTTATACTGCTTTATATCTAAAAAATGCTTACAACTTCTCATAAAAATAGTCTGAGGCAACTATTTTTTCTTTTATTCTTTAACAGACATGTTCAACATTATGGGCAACATTCTTAAAACCTTAAGCTTCACAGACTTTCAGACATTCAAATACTATGGTCCCCTTTTCTTTGATGTGGAGGTTTATTCAGCTAGGGAAAAAAAAAAAAGCATGGTAGACAACTTAATACATTTTCACCAAATTGAAAGTAGTACAAAAGTTTTAAGATTCTACAGAACTACACATCGTACCTAATGGATCATTAAAAATAGAAGACAGTATTTTCTTCAGCAAATAAAACAGCATAATGGTATGCTGTTAAAGCATACTTTTTAATATGTACTGTCAATCATAAATTATTTACAACTTCTACTGTGTGAAGAGAACTAGAATGTAAATTTTCTGCAAAACTGGAAAAAAGCAATACAAAATTTGTGAAAGCCTGTGTTTCATATTATACAAAAGTAAACCAGTTTTTCTCTTCAAATACCAGACATATGCAGTGGTATTCTGGATGAATTATAACAATTCTTGAGGATGTTTTAATGCTGGCGGTAAGTTTACCGGCCTTGACTCTTCATCAAGGAGGACCAGATCTTCTATTTCACTGCCTCTGTATTTCCTTTTACATATCTTTACCACTACTTTCTTCTTGAGAAATAACTTCAGTGCTTCTCTTGATGCAACAGCTTTTGCGTTTTCTTTGCTTTTTCCACAGCCAGTGCCCAAATACACAGACTTGCACCTCAATTCACAAACAATACTTTCTTGAGAGCTTTTATTTTGAGGCAGATCTGCTAGTTCTTTTAGCGGAACAAAAAACACATCCAGTGTTGCCTTCAGAGCTTCAATAGCTGCGTTTAGGAGCTCGCCATGATTCACATTGGGACTAAAGCCACCAACAGCTACCAACTTCCACGCCACCGTCTTATACAGTCTGTTGAAAAACGGCTGTTTCTGTTTCACATCTTCATTGGTTAACTTGCAACAAGAAAATTTGACAGAACTCTCACTTGACTGTGAAGTACTTTTAGAAGGCAACTGTGATGTGCTAGTCTGAGAACTACTCTTAGCAGCCAGCTGGGACACACTTGCTAAGGAAGTGCTTTTGGAAACTAGAGATCCGCTGGTCTGGGAGCTGCTCTTGGAAGCTAACAGTGATGCAGCTACCTGCGAAGTGCTTTTGGAAGTCAGCAGAGATGTACTTGTCGATGTGCTGCTCTTGGGAGTTAGTAGGGATGTGCCTGATGAGGAAGTATTTTTAGAAACAGATGAAGAAACACTTGCCTCTGAACTAGTTTTGGAAGTTAACCCACCTGAAGCTGTCTCTGAACTAGGCTTGGAAGACAACAGTGGCAGCTCTCCTTCTGAGCTTCCAGAGGAGCCCAACAAGGGCACCTCAATCTCCGAGATACTTTGAGAAGCTGAGGCTGAAGAACCTTCCAAAGCACTCTTTTTAGGTGATCCACTTTGTTGTCTGGAATCAGTAGATTGGGTCATGTGACTATTCACACTGGATTTCAACAACGAAGAAACAATTGAGGCTGAACCATGTTTATCTGGAGCTTCTGATTCCAAAGCTTTTCCAGACCCTGCCGCTGTTACCTGAGAGGAAATGCTGCTACTATTTTGGCTGGAAAGAGATCGATCTCCATCACCTGTAGAGCTATTCTGACTCGAGGCGCCAGAGCTTCGAGTGGCGTTCCCACTTTCTGGCTTCACAGATGACCCCGTACATGTTGAGCTGTTTTCCTGCTGAGCTGATGCACGTTCTGTTTTGGCAGAAAGTTTTGCATGCTCTTGCTCAACTGCAGAATTGTTTCTTCCTTCTAGGAGTCGTTTCTTCGCTGGCTCTTCTACCCCTTCTAAAAAAGAAGGAAAACAGATATGTGACTAAGTCTAGCTCATACGCATCACCTGAAAACTTACAAGACAGATACTTGTCAAAAGAAAGGCAGAAGTCCAAAAAAAAAAAAAAAATCAGGACTAGTAATTTCTTTAAGAAAGAAAATGCGGAATAACTTCATTAATTTCTTACAACAGTGTTGAATAATAGAATTTAATTTCTGATGTTAAACAAAATCAACGGCATAGACATTCGACACTTGAAATCTAACGTGGTCAAAGTTAACTATCAAAACCAGTGCCTGAAACACACACACACACACACACACACACACACACACACAATTTAGGCTTTAACATTCCAACTTGATTAATAACATCGTATACATTCTAGCTTGTTAAAAAAAATTAGTTAATTATACAATTCCTAATTATGTCAAACTTATGTTCTAAACTCCTATGTATGTTCACATCTATGATCTGCTAACCATTGCTACTCGATATCCCTCTTTTCTTCACCTTGGCAACCAGTTCGTCTCTTGTTGTATGGATTGGAGCATCTGTCACTTTGATGCCTTCAGCCATACTAAGTATTTTATCCATAACTTTTTGTGGGTACCTGAAAGAGGAAAAACAAAACAAAAAACAAAAAAAACAAAAACAAAAAGACACTTTTAAAAAGTGTTTTTCCCCAAGCTACCACTCTGGGTGTGCAAACACAAACAAACAAAAACAGGCCACAGGAACTGCATTTCCTGGTTGTGATCAAGAAAAGTGTACGACCCGCCAGGAACTTTCGGTTTCCTGCAACCCCAGAAACCCACGCCCCAGGGGCAGGGGGGCGGGGTGCTCCCCGAGCGCGCGGCCGGCCGACCCCCAGCGGCCTCCCCCCCCCCTCCCCGCCCAGCGGGGGGCCGGCTGTTGCCCGCCGCGGCTTCTGGCTGAGGCGCCCCGCTCGCCCTCAGAGGGCGGCCCGAGCCGCGGCTTCCCGCGCTTCCCGCCTTCCCCTCGCCGCTGAGGCCTGGGGGCGGCTGACACAACCGGGAGGGCCGGGCAGGGGCGCTTCCTCACTCACCGGCACCCGAGAAAGACGTGGTTCGCCCAGGCCATGGAGAAGGAGACGAGCTGCTGCAGCTGCCGATGGCGGCTCCCGCTCTCGGCGTCGGCAGCTGCCTCCGCGTCAGGGCCGGTCGGGGCCAGGCCCCCGGCGTTGCGGAGCAGGAACTCCCGGCGGTGGCGCCAGTGTTTGTCAGTCTCGCCGTCGCAGCGCAGCGCCTCCACCCAGGCGGCCGCCCGCGGGTTCTGGCTCAGGTACTCCGACACCTCCTGCGCCATGTTGGGCCTGCGGGGCGCGGAGGCCGCGAGCAGACGCTGCGCCGGGAAGAGAGGCGGGTGCGCGCGGGCGGCGAGCGGCCCTGTCAGCGCGGCCTGCACCGCGGCCCTCCGGAGAACGCCCCTCGCGACGCCCGAACGCCACACAACAGCGCCCGCGGCCGCCGAACCGCCCACTTCCGCCCGCCGCCGGCTCCTTCCCTTTTATAACCTCGCCGCCGCCGAACGCCCGCGCGTCCTTCCGGCGCGGGCCGGCTCTCCCAGGACGCTTTGCGGCGCCCCGGCCGGGCGGCGGGGGAGGGGGCGGAGCGGGCGAGCGCAGGGGGAGGCGAGCGCTGGCGCCTCCCGCTCCCGCCTCCCGCTCCCGCCTCCCGCTCCCGCCTCCCGCTCCCGCCTCTGCCCGGGGCGCCCCGGCTCCGGCGCCGGCCTCGGCGTCCGGCTCGGCTTTGTGACGCCGCGCGCGCTCCCGCCGCCTCCCTCCCTCCCTCCCGCGCCCCGCCGGCCCCGGCGCGCGTACGGAGCGGGGCCCGAACGCACGAGAGCCCGCCCCCCGTGTTTTCGGTCCGGTCCGAGCGCCGTGCCGGGTGTAGACGGGCGAGGCCTTCGGAGGCCGCCCCGGACCCCGCGGCGTTTTACGAATGTGCAAGGGTTTCCGTGTAAATAGCAGGAGGGGGGCGGGGGCGGGGCGGGGGCGGCGTCTGGGCACGTGGGCTCCCGCGCGCTGGCCCCGCGGCCCGGGCCGCTGCGAGCCTCTCCCCGTGCCCGGTTTTCTCCCTCCTGGCGTTCGTTTCCGCTGCGTGACGTCCACGCTTGACATTCCTGGAGGCTTTTGCAGCGTTTTCTTCCCCCTTGCGTTCGTTTCCATTGCATGATGTCCACGCTCAACGACATTCCTGGAGGCTTTTGCAGCGTTTTCTCCCTCCTTGCGTTCGTTTCCACTGCGTGAGGTCCACGCTTGACATCCCTGGAGGCTTGCTTAGCGCCACGCGTCCAGTCTCAGGTACACGTGTTTCGGGATGAATCCCTTTTAGTAAAGGGCGGTGCAATCATCCCAAATTACAAGGCACAAAGGAAATTTTCCTTGCGTTCAGTGTTTGTGGACTTTGGTTCGAAAATGGCTCGAATCCGGATGATCAAGCCAAAAAAAAAAAAAAGCCACTTTAACTCGATTAAGATTCTTTTTTTCTTTAACGTAATTTATATACATGCTGGAGTGATCACCATCTATCATGTGAAAATAACAGCCCACTCTCCGGTTAACACCTAGTGAAACTTGGTAAAAAGGCGGGCACAAAGGAGTTTTGAAGCTTAGGATCTCATTTGGTTCTTCTTTCCTCCTTTTCTTTTTTTAAAGATTTTTATTTATTCATGAGAGACACAGAGAGAGAGAGAGGAAGAGACACAGGCAGAGGGAGAAGCAGGCTCCACGCAGGGAGCCCGATGCGGGACTCGATCCCCGGTCTCCAGGGTCACACCCTGGGCCGAAGGCAGGCGCCAAACCACTGAGCTACCCAGGTGTCCCTCTTTCCCCCTTTTCATTGAAAATTTCTGAGACTTGAAGAGGGGTGAAAGGCTGCGGAACTCTGACAATTTAAAAGACAAGACATTTTATGGGTTTTGCTTTCATGAAGTCTTTGGCCGTGGGGGGAAAAGGGTGAGTAAAAGAATCGGTGATGACATACCTCCATCATATGTGTGCATTTTAAGCCAAGGGTTTTCTCATTTCCTTCTTGCCATGTAGCCTTCTACCTATGAGGTTTCATTGCCTTGAGAACAAATAGTGCCCGGATTCCAAAATGATTTTTTAGAATTACAATAAAAGCAATATGGTCTGAAAGCTGGAGTACTTTTCAAGAGCCAGGTGCTTGCCAGAAAGAAAAGAAAAGTGTATTTTTCATTCTTAAAAAAGTTGACTTTATATATAGAGAGAGATTCAGGGCATAGACCATGGTCCACAAAGTTAAGAAGAATGGCATATAGGGACACCTGGTGGCTCGGTGGTTGAGCCCCTGCTTTGGCTCAGGTCCTGATCCCGGGGTCCTGGGATCGAGTCCCACGTCTAGCTCCCTGCATGGATGGAGCCCGCTTCTCCCTCTGCCTGAGTCTCTGTCTCTCTCTGTGTGTGTCTCTCATGAATAAATTTTAAAAATCTCAAAAAGAATCTTTAAAAAAAAAAAAGAATGCTATATATTCAAAAAAAGAAAAGAAAAGATACGTGGGTGGCTCAGTTGGTGAAGCATCTGCCTTTGGCTTCAGGTCATGATCTCCGGGTCCTGGGCTGGGGCCCCCACATCAGGCTCCCTGCTCAGTGGGGAGCCTGCTCCTCCTTCTGCCCCTCCCCCTACTCATTCTCTCTAGCTCTCAAATAAATTCTTTTAAAAAATATCAATATTAAAAAAAGGAAAAATTGTTATCACCCAATGGAGACACATTCTTTTTTGGGGGCTGTGGAAGAAATTCAGAGAAAAAAGGCACAAAGAGAATTTAGAAAAATCAATGTGAGTGGAGGAGAAGGTTAGGGGGAAGTGTTGGCTCTGTCTGGACTTTTGGGAGAAAACTGCCCATTTAGTGCCCTGAGCCACCTTGGGCTGGCCTCTAGAGATTTTGTTTATTCATGAGAGACACACACAGAGAGAGAGTCAGAGACATGGGCAGGAGAAGCAGGCTCCCCATGGGGAGCCGGATGCAGGACTCGATCCCAGGACCCCGGAATCACGACTTGGGCGAAAGGCAGATGCTCAACCATTGAGCCATCCAGGTGTCCCAAGAAGAGAATGTTTTAAGAAGACAGTGGTCCCCTGCGTCAGTAGCTGGGGGAGAAATTGAAGAGGGATACTGCTGTTAATGGATTGAGGTTGGAACCACTGGTGAGCTTAACACAAGTAGTTTTGGTGGAGTGATAGAGACACAACACTGGAGCTCAGGAGGAGGAAAAGGAGATGTTTGTGAAGGAGAGAAGAGAAGGGAAGCTGGACAGGGTCATGGCATCCATACAGCTTTGAATAAGGTGGGAGAGGCTTGAGCAGCTGCATCTGTGACTGGGAGGAGCCAGTAGAGCGAGAGTTTACAAAAGGAAAAAGGGGTAACAATTTCTGAAGGGATGGGAGAGGGATCCTACACAGAGATAGAGAGATTAACCTGAGGTAGAAGGAGAAACACCTCCCCGGTTTTCAAGGGAAAAAAAGTGGGCTTGTAAATTTGGAGGTGAGAAGCTGAGATGGAGCCCATGTAGTGGAAGATGCTGGAAATGGACATTCTAGATAGGGAGCAAGCTGCCTAGATGAACAGATCCTTTTAAGTTCTGGCCAATGTTTTAGAAATTAAAAAGTATGCATGCTCACAGAAATGAAACAGTTAAAGGGAAATAAAAGGCATAAAAGGAAAGTAAAAATATCTCCCCCCTTCTCATCCCTAGTCCCACTGTTAAAATAACAGCATTTATTTACAAATTTATGTCCTCTTTTATCTTTGCTTCTTTGGGCGGTTATTTTTGTAACTAGGTTATGTGCTAATGTTTCTATTTCTTGATTTTTCAACTTTAAGAAGTATTTATTCCTCTGAATGTGAAAGGTGATAAATCCTATCACTTGTACTATCCCTTCCTTTTCCCGATTGTTGTTCTATTTTTATTATTCTGTTGGCCACCTGTCATACATTTAAATATTATACTTAATCTTTAATTTCTTAGTCTCCTAATTTTAGACAATCAGCTCTGGATATCCATATCATGTAAGAAAATCCTGGAAAAATTGGGCACCTGGGTGGCTGAGACCTGGCCTTTGGCTCAGGTCATGATCACAGGGTCCTGGGATCACAGGATGTAGCCCCGCATTGGGCTCCCTGCTCAGTGGGGAGTCTGCTTCTCCCTCTCCTCCTCACTCATGTGTGTGCTCTTTCTCTCTCTCTCTCAAGTAAATAAATAATCTTAAAAAAGAAAATTCTGGAAGAGAGACCATAAGGTAGATAATTGGGCATTCACAAAGTCTGGCTTTCAGAGAAAATGCAGTCGCCAGTGGTAATTTCACAAAAGGTGGAAAATTCTGAAGTGTTCCTATTTCCCTGCATGATTTGTGCCATTTGTGTTCACAGTAATCCCTAATATTGATAAATGTCAATGAATTTGTTTGCTTCTTTGAGAATTAAATAAGATTATGAAGTTACATCTTTCATGGGGGTTAGCTTCCCAAATCAATATGTAAATGAAGGAGATGATATGATTTCACTACTTTTTTCTGTGGCAAAGCAATTACCTCAGTTTTAGAAAGACCCCTTGGGCATCTACTGATGTGGAGAAGTGGAGAATTAGGGACTTTCTCTTTAGGCTCACAAATTCTAGTTTGATTAATTTTCATTGCAAGTGACAAAACAAATTATGATTTAAAATGGCTTCTGCTTAAACACAAAGGGGATTTATTGCCTGTATTTTTGACAGACTAGGGAATAAACCATGGGATCCAGGTACTCAAATAACACAATCGAGAAGCCTATTCCTCTTCATCGCTTTCTCTCTGTCAGCCTCAATCTTGGGCAAGCTCTCCCTGCATAGTGGTAAGATGGTTCCAGTAGCCCACAGCATCTACATCCTCTCTAGCTCAGCAACATGAGAACTCTTTCTTGATAGTTCCTGCCAATGTCTGGAGGTTCTTTTGGGAATCCATTTATTCCTTAAATAAACACTCTAGCCAGGGGTATGAAATATTCCAATTGTGTAGGTCTGAGTCACGTGGTCACCATGAGAATAAAAAAACACTTGAGTAGGATTGGTATCATGCAAGGAAAAATAAAGAAGTCAAAGAATTTACACTCAAGGAAATAGAGATAATAGGCATATAAGAGGGATCACCAAATACCAGAAAATATTTTACAGAATGGATGGTAGTAAGCAATCCCACAGGACACAAGACAATAGTCCCGTGTGAGCTCTTGTTATCAGGATGACTTCTTTCCTTCACATCTTAGCCTAAGTGATAAAATCTTTTTACGGCAATTCTTACGTTCCTTTATAGAGTTATTATATAGGGTCTTCCTGAAAACAAACTTTCCTGATGTTGCTTGGAAATACCCTGTGCATATCCGACATTCGATAATTGTTGAGTGACTGAATGAATAATGTGTGGCTTTCTTATATATGGAGAAATTGTTTCTACATGCATGTAGGATGGAGACCAAAGTTAAACCTCCTGATTTCCTTCTCAGGATAGCGAAGTAAGTATCTATTGCAGTGTAACAGATTACTCCAAAATTTAGCACCTGAAAATAGCATGTGGGTGTCCATAGTGTCATCTAGGAGCAGCTTAGCCAGGTGTTCCAACCTCAGGTCTCTTCTGAGGTAGCAGTCAAGGTGTTGACCAGGATTTTGGTCATCTGAAGACTGGGCTGTGGATCAGCTTTCAAGCTCACACACTGGGCTGTTGGCAGGCCCTAGTTCCTCTTCATAGGGCTGTTTGACATGGCAGCTAGTTTTCTCCTAGAACAAGTGGTCTAAAGAGAGCAAGAGATCCCGGGACTCAAGCTACCCTCTTGTATAATCTAGTCTTGGAAGTGACATAATTCTGCTGTATTCTATTTGTCACACAGACCAATGCTAGTACCAAGTGGGAAGAGGGTATAAATACCAGGAGGTAGGGATTATTGGAACCATCTGGAATGCTGGCAGCCACTGATGGCTATTTTATTTATTTTAAAAATGTTTGTATTTATTATTATTATTGTTATTATTATTTTTAGTAATCACTACATCTTTAGTCTTCTTATTTCTCCTAATGCTAACAAGATGAGATATTATTATATGTAATTTCCCATCTCTGTGAAATGAAACTCTTTACCTGTGCCTTATGCCAAAATGTAGGAAATTTAATTATAGAACCAAGATACAGATAGAAAACAGATCATGTTTGGAGAAGTACAGTTCAAGTTCTCATAATAAACTTGATCTTGGTTCTTCAGAATCATAGAAGGTTAGAGCTGGAAGGGAACTTTAAGATTGTGTTTATTTTGTAG